ATATTTTTTTGATCGGCATCGTACAAGGTTTCTATTCTTTTCAATTTTTTTTATTTTATTTTAAATTCTTTTAGAGAGTTATCTCGAAATACAAAAAAATACATTAAACTTTTGAAAAATTATAATTTTATTTTTTGCTAATTTTAATTTATTTTTTAAATTGTTTATTATTGACATTATGATAGTGAAATGATTTTTTTTTTTGATCTTTTGGTGACGGTAATTATGATTTTTTTAGTTTCGAATCAATATTGTATACTTATCAAAGTGGTGGCGTTGTGAAAAGACCTGAATCGGTACCAATCGATATGTTTATTAAAGAACTCAAGTTTTTTGAAGTAAATCACTATTTAAAGTTTAAAAAAAATTGATTATAAATTAAATAGCGATATGCAAATTATAACTATGAAATGTTAAATACACACATTTGATTGAAAGAACTCATTTACAAAGTTAAATAGATGAAATGACAATTTGAAATGATGTGAAAATTTTTATAGTAAAGTATGAGCGTATTCATCATACGCAGATAGATATATGGTGGAATAAATGAACTGAATATTGTAGAAATGTTCATTACAGTAGCAGTGATTACGGTATCGATTTCTTGTAGATGGGTGAAGAACTGTTGGAGAGATTCTGGATTAGTGAAGGTTACGAGAAACCGAAAGAAATTCAGATGCCACAAAACATGTTGCAACGGCAATTATGGGAATTGGTGGAATATCCGGATTCCTCATTATTCGCTCGCATTTTTGCACTTCTCTCCATTTTTGTCATTAGCATGTGTGCATTTCCTGAAATTCTATTAAATTCATTTAAAAAATCTTTTGTCAAACACTTATTTCTCTAAAAATCCTGTATCAATTTCAATAATACAGGAAATAAAATCATATATATATAACTTATAATTAAATTATCCAGATATATATCTGAATAATTTAATTACATTTTAGCTCAATAATATCATTTTGTTTGGAAACATTACCATCGATGAAAGAAAATCCAGGTGATGTACGCGATTGGTCTAATCCATTTTTCCACATTGAATTATTCTGTATTATCTGGTTTACAATTGGTTGGTTAAAATTTTTTCCAATATTTTAAATGTTGTAATAACTGGAATACCATAAATTTTGTTTATAAAAAAAAGATGTAGCAGTTTTATTTGAAGAAAATTTTTCACTCACTTTCTGGTATAGTATAATATATAAAAAGTGAAACATCGATTTTTAAAATTGATTAATCACAAGAGGAAACTTTTTATTTTAATAGACCATTTTATTGTTTTCCAATAAGCTAAATCAAAGAAAATTTCTCTCTTGAGACAAACAGATTTTTTGTTAATATAAAAAAAGCTATTTATACATACATATTTTTTAAATCGATATAAGTTTAGGTTTAAAATGTCTAAATTAGGCGTCTGCTTTAAACTTTAACTCATTTGTATGCTAATTACTTTTTAGTATAAATTAAAATTTGAAAAATTTCAACTGAAAACGAAAGTTATGTGATTTTTTCATTCATTCGATAAGAATTTTTAAATTCGTCACATAATACGGGCAAATGGATGATTTTAGAATTATTGCTACGATTTATAAGCTGTCCGAATAAGTTTAGCTTTCTTCGCTCTGTCCTCAACATTATTGACTTTGTTGCTATTGCACCTTTTTTTGGTAATTTAATGTGGTAAGCTTAATTTTCATCTAATTTAGGTATTTTGAAATTTTTAAAAAATCGAAAAAGATATACAAACAATAATTATAACAATTGTAACAAAATATTTGTTTATTCGATTTTAATCAATCTTTTTGGGATAAATAAAAAATTATATAGTTTAAAGTTGAATTTAATCGATAGATAATTCAAATTTTAGGATGGACTCAACTAAATCCAATTCATCAATGTCATTTGCTGTATTACGTGTTCTACGATTGGTACGAGTATTCAGGATATTCAAGCTCAGTAGGTTAGCAAGCAATATTTATTATTATTATTATTATTATTATTATTATTATT